AGACCCCATGTACAGACATTTAGTTGAATAATCTGACATAAGGCCCAGACATGTGTTAGGGGTTTTTGTTTGTTTTAAAGATTTTATTTATTTATTTATTTGAGAGCGAGACGGAGCACAAGCAGGGGGAGTGGCAGAGGGAGAGGGAGAAGCAGGCTCCCTGATGAACAATCCCAGGCCCCTGGAACCACGACCTGAGCGGAAGGCAGACATTTAGCTGACTGAGCCACCCAGGTGTCCCAACATGTGTTGTTAAAAAGGTCTCAAAGCAACGCTGATGATCACAAGAACTGGAGATGCCCCGCATCTAACAGAACCCCTCCAAGCATGGCCTGAATTTCTTATGCTGAGCTCCACTGAGCATTTGTGATGATGTTAATGGACCAAAAAGTGAACACAGAGGTACTACCTCCAGGGGACCAAATGAATCCATTAGTTGTTGTTAGCATAACAAACCATTCCAAAACTCAGTAGCTTCAAACAGTAGGCACTCATTATTGCTCCTGAGTCCTTGGATCACTTTGTGTGATCTCTGCTGGGCCCATTCATGCATCAGGTCCGCTGGCTGGTCGAGGATAGCCTCAGTCACATATCTGGTGGGGTGACAAAGGTCTCTGGGCCCCAGCAACAGAGTGCAGGCATGTCCATAGGGTGACCGGGCTAGATTCTAGGTGAGCAAGTAGACACGTGTGAGGCCACTTAAGACCTACACTGGGGACTGGTACATATGCATACTGTCACTCCAGCATATTCTGTTGGCCAAAGCTACAAGGCCTAGTCCAGATTCAGGGGCTGGGTAAACGGACTCTACCTCTTGATAAAGGGAGCTACAAAGTCCTTCTCACAACAGACTCGTTTCAAAGTCTATTATACAACCAAAGGGAGAAAAGGTTGCCTTAACCCAAATACGATTTCTAAGCATGGGCCAAAGTTTTCCCCTAATCGTAAAAAGTTAGACACTCCTGAAGGTAAGGTTTCATCTGATGTTCCTCGTTTCTATTCCCGCCTGCACATACCTTAGTTATTCCTCAAGACCTCAGTTTCAAAAGAAAGCCAAAGAAATCTATTTCTTCTCAGCACTATTTCATATCATCCTCTGAGGTTTTTAAAGATGATGTGGAAGGCATGGCATCCTTACAAGGACTTGTTCAGGGCGAGTGTCTCTGCGATGCCTCTTCTTGGCATAGGATGTGCCCACAGATAAATGTGACCAAATGATCCACACGGCTACATCCTGCAAAGACCTCCACAGCCTTCTCACGAGGAGCACTGAAGTGTAAGAACTATTACAGGAAAAAGATAACACACTAGGCCGGTAAAGAGCTCCGAGGAGCAGGAAACGGGCGCTTACTGAAGATTATAGTCTAAGACTAATTATATTCCAGCTGCTTCACTCACCCGTGCCTGACTGTGCCACTTAGGAACTACACTTAAAGGACACTGGCTGAGTCCATAACTGCGTTCCTGACTCACGCCCCGAGACGTACGTAGCCTGGCTGGGATGCTGCCGGAGTTATTACAGCATCCCTACAGCTAAGGGGTTGCTTTCTGGTTTTTTAGAAAAATTACTATGACCTTTGGGTTAGTTCTACTTAAATTCTCTAAACACCTACTTATGAGGTTTGGGATAGCGAGGGGTGGTAGGGAAAGTAATTCCAGCAACCAGGAAACACAGGATGGCAGAGAAGTGGCCAAGGCTGGGTAGTGCCTGGAGGCTCCTTAGGAGGGACATGGAGGATAGAAGGAGAAAGCATGTGCTGCTTACAGACAAGGTCCTCTTAAGTGCCTGTTTGGTGCCCATTTCTATGGCCAGCTTTCACTCTGCTTGGTGTCACCGTCTGAACCACTAAGCAAGAGGAGTGGGTGACACACAGGGAAATCGAAAGAAATGCTAAATTCACCATAAAGATGCCTCAGAAAAGCCAAATTCAGGAAGATCCTGCATTTAATTTAGTTTGCGAAGAAACTGTACAAAGTTCTGAAAATGCGTGAAACAGGCCATTGCTAGGAGGAAACACCACCCACTCGCCTCTAAGTGGTCTTTCATCAAGAACTGAGCCCTGGATCCGGGAGACAAGCAGGTGTGGCAGCACTAGCAATGGTTTGGTTTGGTTGGTTTTGTTTTGCTTTGTTTTGTTTTTTAAGATATTTGAGAGAGAGAGAGCGTGAGCACACAGGTGGCCAGAGGCAGAGGGAAAATCTCTAGCAGACTCCCCGCTGGGTGTGGACCAACACAGGATTTGATCTCACGACCCTCAGCCGAAATCAAGACTCAGACACTTAACTGACTGTGCCGCTCAGGCACCCCACGGGACAGCGATGTGTTCCACCTGAACATGTAGTAACCAAACTGCAAATGCTCCCGAAGGCTAGAACTGCTGCTGGTGCTGGTCACTCCATGGGCGCCTCGGAGTGGCATCTGTTTGTTTTTCAATCACAACTGAAAAGACTCACAAAATACAAACCGGCATCTCCAGGTGAAATCACCAGAAGGGTTCCCACCCCCATCTTCTGCTCACTCAGCAAAAAAGTAAGTGGCATTTTGGATGGTCTTTTAATGAGCTGGCAGATTAGGCTGCAGCCGGACTATGCTTTTGATTAATTAGCTAAGGGGAAACCAAAGCAATAAGAAAGTGAACTATTAGTATTATCACCACGGGAACACTGGCAGTGACAATGACGAGGAATTACTGATTTCTTTTTTTTTTTTTTAAAGATTTTATTTATTTGACAGGCAGAGATCACAAGTAGGCAGAGACCAGGCAGAGAGAGAGGAGGAAGCAGGCTCCCCACTGAGCAGAGAGCCCGATGCAGGGCTCGATCCCAAGACTCTGGGATCATGACCTGAGCCGAAGGCAGAGGCTTTAACCCACTGAGCCACCCAGGCGCCCCTAATTACTGATTTCTTTTCAGAAAAAGACAACGTCAGAAGAGGGAACTAAGAAGGGGATCTTTACCCTGCTCGCGCTCCTCCCCACTTGAACACACACACACACACACACACACCCCACAACTTCATACCCTTCTTTGCACACTACTTTTTAGTAGTGCTTTTTAATGCTGTTCTAAAAACCTAGCTATGTGAGGTACAGGCTGCTCTTCCTGGAGAATCCATTTTTTTTTTTTTTTAAGAATTTATTTTTTCATTTTAGAGAGAGAGACAGAGACAGAGAGACAGAGCACAAGCAAGGGGAGAGGAAGTGGAAGAGGGGGAGGCAGGCTCCCCGCTGAGCTGGGAGCCCGATGTGGGGCTCGATCATAGGACTCCGAGACCATGACCTGAGCTGAAGATAGATACTTAACCATCTGAGCCACCCAGGCGCCCTTCCTAGAGCATTCTTACATTGCCTGCACAGCAGTGCCAAGGACGAACCTGTGGCTGCATTTGCAGGGACATCCGGGCACAAAGCAAACTTTCACATGTGTCAGGGGAGTGCCTCGGCTTTGGGCAATTTCTATTCCAGTTTCTGCACCATTCTCCCGTGAAACCCCTGAGCTCAGCATTTCCACTCTAATGTAACCACAGTGTAAGTCCTCGTGGCTGTTCAAGGAATGGGGCCATCTCAAACATACTGTAATAGTGGAGTATCAAATTCACATTACACATAGCTTTATCTTTCCTACAACCTTTTTTTTTTTTTTTAAGATTTTATTTATTTATTTGACAGACAGAGATCACAAGTAGGCAGAGAGGCAGGCAGAGAGAGAGAGAGGAGGAAGCAGGCTCCCCGCGGAGCAGAGAGCCCGATGTGGGGTTCGATCCCAGGACCCTGGGATCATGACCTGAGCCGAAGGCAGAGGCTTTAACCCACTGAGCCACCCAGGCGCCCCCCTTTTTCCTACAACCTTTTTCCTGAAGTCTCCCCAGGTATTAAAGTTTGGGCTACGCCAAACTTTTTTTCCTGGCTAAGCCAGGAACCAGAGGCAGCTTCATTCCCCCATGTTCAGTGCAATCAACCGCTTGTGTTTAGAATAAATATTTGAAACTCAGAAGCCTGTTAACAATGTAGCACTTGATTACTCTGAATTACTCTCACCCACAGCATTGAGGGAGAAGGCCTTGGCACCAGCCCCACACAGAAAACCTGCTTCCCAGCCTGCTCCATTTGCTTTCCAACGCTTCCCTCAAACTCTCAACACACTACACAAAGGTCTCAGTTTTCTCCCTTAAATACCCCACGAATCCCACATCCAACATCTGACTTCCTTCTTCCCAGAGCACACAGATTTACTTCAATACTTCCAGTTCAGATATATTTAATTAGACCGACTTGTCTTGTTATCTCTTAGTCAAACCCCTCTGCTAGCATCTTTCGTTCAACACTGAAATCTCCTCAAAAGGGTTTTCTGTTTGCTTGTTTTGAGACAAAACGTCATCTTGGTCTATTTCAAAGCTAGAGTAAAAGCTACTTTTCTTTTTTTTTTTTTTTTAAGATTTTATTTATTTATTTGACAGAGAGAGAGATCACAAGTAGGCAGAGAGGCAGGCAGAGAGAGAGAGGGAGAAGCAGGCTCCCCGCTGAGCCGAGAGCCCGATGTGGGGCTCGATCCCAGGACCCTGGGATCATGACCTGAGCCGAATGCAGAGGCTTTAACCCACTGAGCCACCCAGGCGCCCCTAAAAGCTCCTTTTCAATTAGAGGTGCCTATGTATTAAAATGGCCACAATCAGTAGCGCTTTTCCTCCTTCAAAATCTATCAGGTAAATAGTCTTTTTTTTTTTTTTTTTTAAGAGAGCCAAAAGGGTAAACTATACTAACCAGAAGTAATTAGTATGTTAAGTTTTGTTTTAAGGCCACGCTATCAGGTTACAAGTTCTGATAAACCCTGCTGGGGGAAGACATGTCTTTGTCTTGGGACCACTGAGAACTAACCAATCAACCAAACAAAACACCTTTAATTCCATCAGAAACTCTCCCATCTAAACACAACTGAAACGGAAAAGCCCACACCAAAGCAGAGCAAATGAATGAAGTGTTCCTGCTGTTGCCAGCCCTTACCATTGGGAACAGAGTCCCCTTCCGGTCCCTCGCAGGGGCTCTGGCTCCTCCTGGGGTGGGGTAGGGGTGGCGAGGGGTCCAGGCCCTGGGTGCAGGTAGAGGTATGCTCCGTGCATGCTTGAACAGGACTCACAGCCGTCTGCCTGCCTGTCTGCCACTCCGTCCTCTCGTCTGGGTGGGAAGGGCCAAGATGAAAAAAAAAAAAAAATGTGCAGGTTACTCACTGGCCTTCCACGGCGGGCACACCCAGGAGGAGGGAGAGGCCCGGCACAGACAGAGAGATTCTTCAGTGGCTGTGCCTGAGATCTTGCTTCTGATTCCTTTTGTTAATACTTCCTGAACTTTAAACTCAGTCTGCACAGGCTCGGGTATTTTGGGGGAGGCAAACAACACTTGGGTAATTAGATTCCAAGAGCTTTGTGCAAAGGTTACTTTGAAAAGGCAATGCTGTAGTGCACGTATTTTTAAATTTAACTCTGAAATTTGTTTCCACCGTGTGTGAGCATTAACTTTGGCACAGGAAATGAGGGCAAGGGGCAACCTTGGTGCAGGGCCTGGAAAGGCCTGGAGCAAGGCAAACCTGAGTGTGGTTCTGACAATGAATATATCTTTTAGTCTCTAACTTTTAGAGAAACAGGATTCTCAACAGTCTCTCAGAGTCGGTGAACCTTCCCTTGTATAAGAGACACGATCTTGAAATACGTGCCCAGAGATCAAGATTTTGGAAATGGATTCCCATTGAAGATGCAAGAACGTGGTACCTGATAGCCTGGCCTCTGTAAATCCTGACGGGAAGCCTTTCGTCAGTGGAGGGAGCCTCAGCAATTTGTCCGTGTTTCAGTAGAAAGAGGTGGAGAGATGGAGCCAAGGGTGAGGAGTACCGACCGCGGACCAGGTACTTCTCTCATTTAATCCTGAAATGCCTTTAGGAGGGAGGTATCCTTCTTCCTCTCTCACAGGTTAGGTAACTTGGGCAGGGCTTGGCCAGGTAGGGAATGGAAGACCCAGAATTTGGACCCAGGTTTGCCTGAACCTAAGACCCAGTCTCCTCACACCACACCACCAGCTATGACACCCACACTTCCTGAAGAACATCACCTTTTTTCCACTTGGAATTGACCTAAGGCTAGGTTACCTTTTCTGAAGTTTTTATACCAGTTCCAAAATGGATATGCCATGAAATATAATTCTGCAGGATGTTAATAGGTATAACAAAGGCTAAGAAGAATATTCTATATAGGTTTCTTCATGGTGGCTTCTCACAGTCTTTAATTTACTAACATATATTGTGAATCTCCCAGCTCAGGACCTAGTGTGCTGGGTTTCCTTTCCCAAAGCCTTTTGGAGTGGGGGAAGGGGATCTTTTGGGTTTGGGAAATGTTGTTCTAGAGATTGGTTATTGTGGTACTTTTCTCTCCCTCTGCTACAATTTGAATTTATGAGTCCTTCCAAAACTCACACGTGGAATCCTAATGCCCAGGGCAGTGTTAGGAGGTGGGGCCTATGATTACCTAACTAGGACGGAACCCTCATGAAGGGGATTGGTAACCTTCTAAAGGGGAGTCCGGACAGTTGCCTAGACCCTTCTACCATGGGAAGACCCAAGAAGTCTTCCTCCCAAAAGAAGACTCTTATCTGACCAGGCTTCCACCCCAATCTCAGACCTGCAGCCTTCAGAGCTATGAGAAATAAATTTCTGCTGTTTATAAGTCACCCAGTCTGTGGTACTTTGTTACAGCAGCTCAAATAGACTAGGATACTTTCCTTACCTTTTTTAAGTGTTGTGTTTTTCAATTTATACTTGATCTTAGCCAAAAGGCTGAGAAGTGGTTTTTTTTTTAATTAATCAAATTATTTATTTATTTTAAAGATTCTATTTATTTATTTGCCAGAAAGAGAGAGATCACAAGTAGGCAGAGAGGCAGGCAGGGATTGGGGGGGGGGAAGCAGGCTCACTGCTGAGCAGGGAGCCCGATGTGGGGCCCGATCCCAGGACTCTGAGATCATGACCTGAGCCGAAGGCAGATGCTTAACCCACTGAACCACCCAGGTGCCCCTTTTTCTTAATTTATAAAAACAACTCACGACAAAAAAAGTTCAAACAGTATATAAGGGTGTAAAATAAATAGTAAAAATCGACTTGTTCTTTGTAACCACTAGTCCCATCCCCCAGAGGTAACCACTGTTAGGAATTTCTTAGGAATCTGCTTTGGAAATTTTTACGCATATGAAGCATATATGAATACCCTTTTTAAAATAACGCAATTGGGATTAAAGCATACCCATGATGTGTGATCTGGCACTTAAAAAAATCTTGATATCGTTGAAATTTTCCATACCAGCAGAGAGTATTGTTACTGATAAACCGGAGCCAAGAATAGTAAAAGGTAGCTCTATCACATGGGATCACTGCTTTATCAAAGGGTCCCCTGTGTGGGTCACAGTCTGCTTCAGTACTTGGCATCAGATGCCCAGCCCCCACCCCCCCGCCAGCTCTGGGTAGCCACCTGCACACTTGATACTCATGTACACGACAGGAAGGATCTAAAACCTACTTCGTATCACAGGTTGTGGTGAGGATCAAGAACAATGAGCACAATGACACCCCAGCCACACCCCAGGTGTGCCAGGCACTCTCTTTAATGTCATCTATGTATTAGTTTGACTAAACCTTGCTCTTGACAGCCCTGTGAAGTAGGTGTTACTATTAGCGCACAGACTGAAAGAGCCATCTCGGCGTGTGGACCTAGCACACAAGCCCACCCCAAATGCTTGACACTGTATCAATAAAGTGAACGTTGTGTCAGCAAACCTGATCGGCGCCACAATAATACTTCTCAAATGGGCACTATAAAGTGGATCCCATGTTCCCCTTAAGAATAATGTTGTAATTAAGGGTTCCAAAACTTCCCCTTGCCTTACTATACATTCTAGACATAAGAAAATCTGGTAAAAACAGAGCCATAACAAAGCTCATCATCATTCAAAATAACAAAATAAGGTTCCATGGCTGAGAGATTCTGAGAGATTGGCTCCTACAACCCCTCCTTTTTACTGATCAAGGAAATCAAACCCAGAAAATATTTGGGTCTTCTCTAAGGGTATATACCCTATTACAATGGTCTCAGCCATGAAATAATTTTTAAATATACATATATTTCAACCCCATATGATTGCTTAAGGGACTCCAACATATTCTATATGTATATACAAAATATACTGTATCACAAATCTGATGTAATATTAATATACAAGTTAGAGTAAGCATTAAACATTTAATTAGAAGTAGCTTTTCCTGCCTTAGAATTTAAAAGGTCATTTGAGGAATGGTTTGACTGACTCATTTCTCTTATAAAAAAACTCTCTAGGCATAATGTGAATCAATATCACCCTATTCTCTCAATTTATTTTTCTATAAAAACCACAGGCCTTCAATATTAGCCCACTGGGTACTTTCCCCCATTAACATGGTAGCAGAAGCCTCTCTAGAGTTTGAGACATCACTCCAGACCTTAGCTTTGGTTCAGGATGCTCAAGCTTTGACCTGATCCTCTTGCCAATCTCTATTTCTTTTTCTTTCCTCCCCACCCACCTGATCGAAGGGAGGAGGAAGAGAGACTCACATTCCTTTAGTGTGGTTACAGCTGAGTGGACACTATGCATTTTACTCTAAGGATTAAAAAAAAAAAAAAAAAAAAAAGACAGGGACCTAACTCTTCCCTTCCTTCAACTCTGACTCTCATTCATCTCATCACCATCTCACCCGACCTTTGGCTCAGGTCATGATCCTGGTGTCCTGGGATCGAGCCTCACGTTAGTCAGTCGGGCTCACTACTCAGCAGGGAGCCTGCTTCTCCTCTCCCTCTGCCTGCCATTCCCCCTGCTTATTCTTTCTCTGTGTGTCAAATAAATAAGTAAAACTTAAAAAAAAAAAAAAGACACAATAACTGCTTGCTTTGCTCCGCAATCAGGAGTTGGAAAGAAACACAGTGCTCAGCTGCATCCAAGACCGGGCTTGTTGAGATCAAGTCATAGGTCAGGGTTCCAGCTTCCCAGTCTCTCAAGTGAGGAAAAGATCATCTACCTCATCAGGCTGTGACTCAAGTTTAACCGTCAAACATTTCATGAATGGCACAGCACCACACAAGTATCAGGTAATGACCATCACTGCTTCTGGCTCTCTAAATATTTTGGAGGGATGGGGCGCCTGCGTGGCTTAGTGGGTTAAAGCCTCTGCCTTCGGCTCAGTGACTCTGGGGTCCTGGGATGGAGCCCCTGCACTGGGCTCTCTGCTCAACAGGGAGTCTACTTCCCTTCCTCTCTCTCTCTGCCTGCCTCTCTGCCAACTTGTGATCTCTGTCTGTCAAATAAATAAATAAAATCTTTAATCAGAAAGAAAGAAAGAAAGAAAGAAAGAAAGAAAGAAAGAAAGAAAGAAAGAAAGAAAGAAAAGAAAGAAAGAAAGAAAGAAAGAAAAGAAAAGAAAAGAAAGTAAGTAAGTTGGAGGGAGATCATGATAGTTGCTTTGAAAGTGGAACCGAGTTGTTTCTGTTGTTCATGATCTTCCAGCCCATGGCCTGTGGTTCCCAAGGTAGGTCCATCAGGATACTAACTAGAAGGTGAGCACAATTCTAGTAGAAAACAGACCTGCTTATTTTCATGTGAACACAGACCTTTTCCTCCACTCTTCTTGCTTTATCAGACTTTCTGAATTCCTTCCTTTTAGCATAATTATAAAACTATTTTTAAACCTTCTATGATAAAAAATTTCAAATGTATATCAAGGTGGAGACAGGAGTGTAACAAACCTCCCACGCATACCCCAGCAGCTTCATGATTACCAATTCACTCAAATCTTGTTTCACCTATTCCCCTACCCACTGGATTATTTTGAAGCAAATTCCCAGCATCACATCATTTCATGCATAAACATCTTTGCATTTATCTCTAAAAGATAAGGATTCTGTATGCAAACACAACCAAAATATTATTACATCTAAAAGGAAACTATAATTACTTAATATCTAATATCCTATCAGTATTTAAATTTCTCCAAATCTATTAAAAGATTTTTTTTTGGTACTTTCCCCAAATGAATTAGGCAATTAATTGATACATGATGTCTTTTCAAATCTAAAACTTCTTTTCCATCTTCATTTTTTCCTTGCAAT